CCCCCCCACCCCCGAAAAAAAAAGCCCCAAGGACTACATGGCAAGGTTTGGGCTCTGCTCGGGGGGTCAGATCCTCCTGGGCGTCGTCTTCGGCCCTCGGAGGACCCTTTGAAGGGGGCTTTGAAACGCTTATAGTTTGGGGGTGTAGGGTTGTGGCGTTTAGGGGTTTAGGGTTTTGGGGGGGTTTAGGGTTTTAGGTTTGGGTTTAGGGTTTAAAGTAGGGGCCTCAATAATTACCTATATTATTTTGAGGGGTTCGTTGTTATAATTATAGTAATTTATTCAGGCGCCTACGTTAGCGGTTAGGTTGTAGCCTTTTCAGGGTTAACGGTTCAGGGTTTAGATTATACCTGCATGGGTTTAGGGTGTAGATTATACCCTTTATGGTAAGGGTCTAGGGGGCTGTTCAGGACCATGAGGGCTTTATTGGGTACTTGGGGGTCCTGCGAGACCTGGTGGGTTATTTTTTGTTGCGCATTGCACTCAGGGTGCAATTTAGACGCTTAGGTCTTAAATAAGGTTTGTAGGGGTGTAGGATTTAAATGTTAGGGCTTGAGGGGCTTAACGGTTTACGGTTGTGGGTTTAAGTTTGGTGAAGTCGAAGGCTGTTTTGGCGCTGGCTCTCGTGTTGGCCTTTTGTTCCCCATCAAACGATGGGATCAGACTATGGGGCTCTTACATTAAGTACTAAGCAGAGGGAGTTATGGTCAGTGTCCAAGCGCGGCGCGTGCAGAGGCGTAGTTGGTGCGGTGAATATGTTGGGCCCAAGTCCCACTGGTTTCACAGTCCTTCAAACCATCAGACAGGGAAGGGAACGATTGGGAGGTCATGGGCCTGAAATCATAATAGGGGACACGCCATGATGAAGCTCTTCGACCTTCGGCCTCCATTGCCTGCGGTCCTACCTCTAGCTCATGTTCTCGTGGTGTTGATGGTGGTGGGTCGTGGGTGCGGTCGTCGTGGTGGTCCTTGTAGTGTCCTGTCGTCGTATGCTCGTGGTCGGTGATCCTGGTCGTCTTCGTCAAGCGTCGTAGTCGTGATGGTCGCCATGGTTGTCCAGGTCATTGTGGTCGTCCTGGTATTTTCGGGATGTGCATGGTGCGTGCCTTTTCGCTGTTTGGGCATCTACACTGGCATATTCTTGCGCAGCACCTGTATAGATGCTATAAAACCTGATCAATTCTTCTTAGCTGTTAACTTCAACCCTAAACCGCGACCTTGTACCCTGGACCGCAGACAGAACCAAGAGAGCCCAATACCCCTTAATTAAGAAATATACTAAATATACTTTATAAACCATAATACAAAGCCCCCACAGCTTAAGGTAAAGTAAACCCTACACCCTAAACCCTAAACCCTAAACCCTGAACAGAACCATCACCCTTTCGATTGGCTACACTACGTCCTTTTGCTGGAGCATGGCCGTGACCTATGGCTGGAATGCGATATCTCCTTTGTTCCCACGGCTTGGTTTAGGGTTTAGGGTTTAGACCCTTCATCTACCTCTATTAGACCCTGACCCAGAATATCCATTATTTGGGATCATATACCCCTACCGAACGAAGCATAAACTCATTATAAGTGCATTTGGGGTCATGGCTCCTGTAAGCTAGCGCTCGCTACACCGTCGCGGTCTTGTGGATCTCTGACCGAGCTCGTGTCAAGTCCTTAAGCAAGGTTCCTCCTTCAACAGGCCTTCCAAGCTGCAATCGGAATCATGGTGCCCGGCTTCGTCGAGGTGAGGGGCAGGCAAAAGCAAACCACAACTCATTTACTCTTTGGCCAAGGGCTAAGGGCTCTACTTGGAGATTCATGGGTAATTTTAAGTGGGGTTACAAGTGGGGCAACTTTCTTCATAACTCCTATTAGGGGACTTGTAACCCTTCTTATAACCTCCAAGTATCCCTTAACCAGATGTTTAGGCCTACGCCCCGAACCCTTTAAGCTTTAACCCGCTATAGCCCCCTAACCCCAAGCCCGAAGCCCTAGAACTCCTCGCAGTTTGGTTTCAGTTCGGGGCCTGTGGTGCGGGGACTTCGCCTGCAAGGCTTTGACAATGCACATGTGCTTGCATACGTGGGTGGTTGTCAAAATTATGGTCCTTTTTGGGGTACCCTAAAATAATAGGTGCCGTATTATAGTAAGGACTCAAAAAGGGACCATAATTTTGACAACCACCCATATGCACAGAGGGTAATGTGGGAGAAGCTCAGAAAAAAAAAACTTGTGAGAGATGGAAAGGGAGAGGGACAGGGCGGGGCATGGAGAGGGAGGGGAGCGAGGGAGAGAAGGAACGAGGGAGAGACCTTCAGAGAGAAAGGACGGAGGAGAGAGATGGAGACTCTGTGACAGAAGAAAAAACTTAGGAGCCCAGTAGGTAAACTTTAAACTTTTTGGTATATTAAACCCCTTACTAAAAGAAAAGTTTAAACTTTTTGGGGCCAGGGTACTGGGCTGCTAAGAAAAAGACTAAGAGAGACCGATGGATGCATAGCGAGGAATGCATAGACAAGATGATGTAGTGGAAAGATCGTTAGATCAGGGCTTACGGTTTAGGGATTCTCGGATTACTATGTGAAAGCCGGCTACATAGCAAGATGCATGAGTGGATCGGTACGCAAACATGTCCTACCCTCACGACACAGTCTTGCCTTGTCAGTTCGCTCTGCGTGAGCGCATCGTTGCCTCCATCCGGTCTAAAGATTCCGACTCATTGATCTTTGGCTTCCGCCAGATGCTGAAGGGCATTTGCGATGGGGAGCTGCTTCTTGACAGTCAACTCCGAGTTTTCGGCAACACAGCGTGCCTGCAGCGGCTGCTTGCCACCAAGAAGGACTTCCTCGGGTGCCCGCTGCAGGAGCTCATTGACGGAGACGATGATGTTGAGAAGTTCGAGAAGTTCATTGCCGCCTCCCTCGAGGAGCCGGGTGCTGAAAGAGGCGAGAGCGAAAAGAGCGCTCCACGCTGTCTGCGCGTGCCCCTGAAGTCCCCGGCGGGCCGGATCGTCAAAGTAGACGTGTGCCATGTCCTGCTGCCGCAGCTCTATGGCAGAAAGGAGTTACACCATCTGCTATCGCTTACGGAAGATACTGAATCTCGCCAGCCAGAGGCGATGGCGCTGAAGCACGCCGAAGCGCAGCTGGAAGTCTTGCGACAAGTCAGGGGCGCCTACCCAGCGAGTCAGTCTGCTGGCTCCGTGTCCAGCTGCGAGACATTTATCGAGAGCTTTGAGGAGCTCGCTGAGATGACTTTGGTCTTAAATGGGAGCACAGAGCTCATCGATATTGAGGAAGCCCACTTCCGATTCCACCGACACAGCAGCGAACAGAAGTTAGGCCTAGGCATGCCGACTCTGAAACGCTTCGCACGGCCGCTGGACTGGCAGGGCTTCTCGTCCTTCCTGCGCCGCTACTCCCGGCAGGCTCGCGCAGGGCAGTCGAGCTAAGGCTCTGAGTTCCGAGTTCTAAATGCTGGAAACTCGATGGTGGGCCCGGGAGTTCTTAAAACGGGTCGAGACAACCGAGCAGTCTTCCACTGAGCTCCACCCGTCATGCGCCTTCCATTCCCCACAAGTTAAGACCCGAAACTTCGAACACAGAAACCTTTACGCGTTTAGGTTTTACGGTTTAGGGTTTAGCCTGTTTAGCTTCTAGGGTTTAGGATTTAGGTTTTCGGGTTT